TCGAACCCACCACCTTAGGTGTACGTGGCTGGCGCCTTAGCCGGTTGAGCTATAGGTGCTGAGCCGCACCACTGTAATTTTATTTTGATGTTTTGATTTTTTAATTAAAATAAAATTAACATAATATAATATAAAATTTGCCATTTTAGCCATTTTAAAGTGTACAATTCAGTGGTTTTTAATATATTTGCAATATTATATAACCATTACTATTACCCATAATTATTTCAGAACATTTCTATCATCCAAAAAAGAAACACCATATTCCTTAGCTTTTATCCCCCAAACCCAAAAAAAGCCACATATTACATCATTTCATTTATATGAAATATCTAGATCAGGCAAATCCACAGAGACAAAAAGCAGACTTGTGGTTCACAGAGCATGGGTGGATGGAGGAATCAGGACTGACTGCTCACTGGATGAAGGATTTCCTTTTAGGGTAACAAAAAACTTCTGGAACTAGATGGTGGTGATTATTGCACAACACTATGAATGTACTCAATGACACTGGATTGTGTACTTTAAAAGGGTTAAAATGGTAAATTTTATGTAGTGTGTATTTTACCACAATTAAAAAATGTATGACTCTCTTCTTGGAGGATAGGGCCAGAAGGCTTGGTTTGTTTGTTTTTCATCATCTAAATCTAAATTCCTTACTTGCATAAAATCTTGCATGGTGACAATATCTATTTCTTCAGTTATTCCGAACTTCTGGAAAATACATTCATCTTCTATAACTTGATGATAAAATTTCTTTATTCCCATTGTTTTGTAAGCATCAACCCCTGCCTACAAAGAGAATGGGAAACAGGAAATTTAAAAATACTAGCATAATAGCTTTAGCTTTAATTACCAGCACACTTTACATATTTTTTCCAATAAATACATCAAATATTGTTTCTTTCTTTTTTTTTTTTTTTTGAGGCAGAGTCTCACTATGGTGCCCTGGGTAGAGTGCTGTGGCATCACAGCTCACAGCAACCTCAAACTCTTGGGCTTAGGTGATTCTCCTGCCTGAGCCTCCCCAGTAGCTGGGACTACTGGCACCCACCACAACACCCAGCTATTCTTTTGTTGCAGTTGTCATTGTCGATTTCAGCTGGCCCAGGCTGGGTTCGAACCCACCAGCCTCGGTGCATGTGGCCGATGCCCCACCCAATGAGCTACGGGCACTGCCGATATATTGCTCCTTTCTACTAGCAACTTGCTAGAAGATTCCACTAGCAAGGCTGCATTTATAAAAAGAAAATTATATAGGGATTTTTAAGCCACTTAAGATTTGTTTCCATAGCCATATCTAGATAGTTTTAAAATGTAGCTAGAAGAGTAGCTGAGCCCACAATTCTCAGAGAACCATAGTTTTAAAACAACTGAATTTTTTCCCTTAAAAAACATTCTTTTTCTTTAAAAAAAAAACTGTAGCATTATTTGTGCTGTCAGTGCAGAGAAAACTTATCTGGTGATTAAATGGGCTGGCTGCCCTAGGAACTACAGTGGAAGGTGTCACTGGGTCCACCTCTCTTAAATATATCATCCCCATTGGTACGTTTCAGATTGCTTAGGCCTCCCTTCCCTTCAAACTTCACTCTCAGCAGCCAAAGAGTAGCAAATAAAGGTTTTTTTGTCCTCTCGTAAATTTCAACTTTATTTTATTTTATTTTATTTATTTATTTTATTTATATTTTTAAGAGATGGAGTCTCATTTTGTCGCCCTTGGTAGAGTGCCAGGGTGTCACAGCTTACAGCAACCTCCAACTCTTAGGCTTAGGAGATTCTCTTGCCTCAGACTCCCGAGTAGCTGGGACTATAGGCGCCTGCCACAATGCCCGGCTATTTTTTTTGTTGCAGTTCTGCCGGGGCCAGGTTTGAACCCACCATCCTCCCTATATGGGGCCAGCGCCCTACTCACTGAGCCAGAGGTGCCGCCCTTCAACATTTTTTTTTTTTTTTTTTTTTTTACTCAAAAAGCACCAGAGAGTTCCTACATAGAGGAATCACAGAAAATCTGGAGGCTTAGATCCTATCTGGCCCAATTTGCATCTGCCCTTCCACATATGCCTATCCTGTGCTAAGAGCTACACATAGACTGTGAGTAGAGACTTAAGTACTCTGCACCTCTCTAAGTATGTGCTGATTCTTGTAACACATATTTATATAATGGATCTGTGCTTCTGGCCACAAAGAGTATGCTTACGTGGAGGCTAGCGTAAAAGAAAATTTAAATATTATTATTATTATTATTATTTTTAGAGACAGAGCCTCACTTTGTCACCCTTGGTAGAGTTCTGTGGCATCACTGCTCACAGGAACCTCCAGCTCTTGGGCTTAGGAGATTCTCTTGCCTCAGTCTCCTGAGTAGCTGGGACTACAGGCGCCTGCCACAATGCCTGGTTATTTTTTTTGTTGCAGTTTGGCTGGGGCTGGGTTTGAACCTGCCACCCTTGGTATATAGGGCCGGTGCCCTACTCACTGAGCCACAAGTGCCACCCTAAATATCTTTTGATTCTCGATCAGTTTTTCTTTTCCTTTGTATCTCAGAATGGGATATTTATGACATTATGGGAACTCTGTGTTATAATGCTGACATAAGGACGTAAAAAGAGTGGTTGAGGCTGGGTGCGGTGGCTCATGCCTGTAATCCTGGCACTCTGGGAGGCTATGGTGGGAGGATCAGAAGCTCAGGAGTTTCAGACCAGCTTGAGCAAGAGTGAGACACTGTCTTTACTAAAAACAGAAAAACTAGCCTGGGTGTGGTGTTGGGTGCCTGTAGTCCCAGATATTCAGAACGCTAAGGCAAGAAGATTGCTTGAGCCCAGGAGTTTGAGGGTGCAGTGAGCTATGATGACACTGCTGCAATCTAGCCTGGGTAACAGAGGGAGATTCAAAAAATACAAAAGAGTGTCTGAGACAGGATTAAAACTATCTATCTATCTCTCTGTCTATCTACAGACAGGGTCTCATTCTTTAACTCAGGCTGAGTGCAGTGGTACAATCATAGCTCACTGAAACCTTGAATTCCTGGCCTCAAGAAATCCTCCTGCCTCAGCTTCTCAAGTAGCTAAGACTACAGTGTGTACCACCATGCCAGGCTCATTTTTGTTTTAGAGACAGGGTCTTGTTCTGCTATCCAGGCTGATCTCAAACTTTTTCTTAGCTTCAAGCAATCTCCTATCTTGGCCACCCAAAGTGCTGAGATTACAGGTGTGAACCACCATGCCCAGGCAGAATCTGTTCTTTGTACTTAACACACGTAAATACAACACTAAGCCTCAATGCAGGGGTCCTCAAACTTTTTAAACAGGGGGCCAGTTCACTGTCCCTCAGACCATTAGAGGGCCGGACTGCGGGCCTCGGGACGAGTCAGCTGCTAAGCAGGACAGGTAGTGGTGGCAAAAACACCTGGTGGGCCAGATAAATGTCCTAGGTGGGCTGCATGTGGCCTGCGGGCCATAGTTTGAGGACGCCTGAATATGTTTATGCCATTACCACACTGTTAGGATTATGGAGATTTTTTTTTTTTTTGAGACAGGATCTTGCTCTGTTGTCTAGGCTAGAGTGCAGTGGTGTCATCACAGCTCACTGCAACCTCAAACTCCTAGGCTCAAGTGATCCTCCCATCTCAGTCTCCCAAAGTACTAGTAATACAGGTGTGAGCCACCACGCCTGGTCTATAAGTCTTGAAATCGAGTAGTGTAAATCCTCTAACTTTGTTCTTCTCTGAAGTTGTTTAGGCTATTACATATCCTGTCACTTGTTTTTGCTTTATGATTTTTGTGAATATAAGAGAAATGCAGTTGGAAAATCAGGAAATGAAAGCAGACATGGAAATAAGATGGAGGGAAGATGGAACTAAACAAAAAGTCTGTAAAATTCCCCCTCCTTTAGAAGTAAACTTAGAGTAAACATCTCAGTGGACTAAAACTGACTCATTTCTTTCATATTAAGAAAAAAGTAAGTAAACTGACCAACGCAGTGGCTCATGCCAGTAATCCTAGCACTCTGGGAGGCCAAGGCAGGCAGATCCCTTGAGCTCAGGAGTTTGAGACCTGCCTGAACAAGAGTATAAACCTCATTTCCACTAAAAATAGAAAAATTAGCTGGGTATTGTGGTAGGCACCAGTAGTCCCAGCTAATCAGAGGCTGAGGCAGGAGGATCATTTGAATCCAGGAATCTGAGGTTGCTGTGAGCTAGGCTGATGCCACGATACTCTAGCCTGGGCAAAAGAGTTGAGACTCTGTCTCAAAAAGAAAAAAATGAAGTAAGTAAACTTAAAAAAGTTGGATCAGTTTGCTAAAGACACAAAGAGCAAAGGAGTTGAGTATGCTTAGAATGATAAAAAATCCACTTTTATAAGTTTTCTATCACTACGAATCTAAGTGTAACCAGAATTTGTTTTGAAGCTGAAATAAAGGAGAAAAGGAATCTTAAAACTGTTTTCTTCAAGTTGGGTATGTTCTGATCATTTAAAACTCATTATAATGTTTAGTGAAAAATTTAAGCTGAATGAATAGTATGTCACATTTTTATAATAAAAAAATTAAACAATCTCTTTGTGTATATGTTTTAATGGGGAAAAATGAAGGATACTCAGCAAACCAGTAACAGTGATTACTCTGGGAGAGTGAAAGTTGTAGCACAGAAGAGAAGGTCATAAAGGCATATTTTCTTTTTATATCTCTGAGATAATTTAAACAAAGATGTAACTTATCATATAGCATTACAATGATTTTTAATGTATACACAGTGATTTTCCAGTCACTGCCTCTAAGGTTCTCACTTTTGCAAGGCTGGGAACAGCATAGGAACAGACCTAGGAGAATTTCACTTCCTAGAAAAACCCCACTGTATAATCTCAGAAAAGAAACAACTGATGATATTTTATAGGGATAACTATAAGCTTATTCTGTAGATATATGTGGCATGAATTTATCCTTCAAATGTTGGATAAACATATATTTTCACATTTGACGTCAATCTATATAAATATTCATGTTTTTAAACACCATTTTCAGTAATGAAAGCATGTAGTTCATTTGATACATTACTGAAAGTTAAGTTTTCTCCAATTTTGCCTGAGAACACAAAGAAAATGGTTCCTTTTCCTCTTTTTTTCTTTTTTTGAGACAAAGTCTCACTCTGTTGCCTAGGCTAGAGTGCTGTGCCATCAGCCTAGCTCACAGCAACCGCAAACTCCTGGGCTCAAGTGATTCTCCTGCCTCAGCCTCTCAAGTAACGGGGACTACAGCCACATACCACCACATCTGGCTAATTTTTCTATTTTCAGTAGAGACAGCCTCTCACTTATGCTCAGGCTGGTCTCCAACTCCTGAGCTCAAGTGATCCTCTCACCTTGGCCTCCCAGAGTGCTAGAATTACAAGCATGAGCTACTGCACTCGCCCTGCCTTTTCTAAAACAGGTGACACTTACTAAATGTAGAATATAAATGTCTTAACACAATAACTAAGAAAATGCCATGAAGGGTATGTTAACCAGTTTGATGAAAATATGTCAAATTGTATATAAAACCAGCACATTGTACCCCATGACTTCATTAATGTACACAGCTATGATTTAATAAAATAAAAATAAAAACAGGGTCTCACTCTGTTGTCCAGACTAGAGTGCTGTGCCGTCAGCCTAGCTCACTGTAGCCTCAAACTCTTGGGCTCAGGTGATCCTCCTGTCCCAGCCTCCCACATAGCTGGGACTATGGACATGTACCACTACACCCAGTTTATTTTTAAAAATTTTTATAGAGATAGGGTCTCTATATGTTGCTTAGGTTGGTCTTAAACTCCTGGGCTCAAGGAATCCTCTTGCCTTGGCCTGCCAAAATGCTAGGATTACAGGTGTAAAGTGTTGCGCCCAGCCTCCTTTCCTTTCCTAATACTCTTCAGCGTCAATGCTGCACATACTGGATCTGACCAGAAACTGCCAAGCTGTGTGTCCTTTCCTCTTGCAAACATGCTAGAACTCATAATTTAAAGTGGGCCATACTTTCTGTGTAACATAAATGGGATGTTGCTGGGTTTCAGGAAAATAACCTTTGATATATGGTGTATAAAAGGCTAAATATAAGAATGTCCCTGCTATTAAAAGTATGGGCTATGGACCAGCAACAGCTGCAGCATTTTAACAAGGTCCCCAGGTGATTCCTATGCTGTAGACAGAATTGTGGTGAATATTCATGAAACTTAAAAGTGTGATGAGAACTCATGAAAAAAGAATAAATATTTTAAAAGTTCATCTTCAATAGCATAGTCTAGCACATTTTTACTAAATGTGCTACCAGAATCAAAGAAACAATAAAATTCCATTAAAACAAATAAAATTGTATCAAACATTCTGCATAATTTAAAAGCCTTGACAGGCCACTTTAGTCCATTATTAACAGATGAAAATTTTAATACAAAGAAAAAGGATGGATGTTTTCTAGAGCTTTGGACAAGTAATTTATTCCAAATGTGTGTGTGTGTGTGTTTACTTTGAAATACAGTGCTTAAAAAAACATTACTATCTGCTGGGCTGTTTAATGGCAAAATAATTTGGTTTGCATACTTGTTTTTTTTTTTTTGAGACAGAGTCTCAAGCTGTTGCCCTGGATAGAGTGCCATGGTGTCACAGCTCACAGCAACCTCAAACTTGGGTTTAAGAGATTCTCTTGCCTCAGCCTTCCAAGTAGCTGGGACTACAGGTGCCTGCCACAATATCTGGCTATTTTTTGGTTGTAGCTGCCCTTGTTGTTTGGTAGGCCCAAGCTGGAATCGAGCCTGTCAGCTCCGGTGTACATGGCGGGCACCTTAACTGCTGAGCAACAGGTGCTGAGCCACAGGTGCTGAGCCCTAGGTGCTGAGCCCTAGTTTGCATAATTTAAATGCAATTCAGATACTACAGATAATTTAAGAAGCTAAATTAACTAAAATGAACATTATGAAACATTACCTTATTTGATGACTTTAATGATTTTTTCCCACTAAAATACTTGTAACCATGGCCTTCGGTATGAAGAAAAATTTTAAACACAATGAAAGGTGGAAATGTTTCACCACTAAATCTGAAATAAAAATAAAAAAATTACTCATTTGGCATCAGGTTTTGGGCTCAGTTACTTCTCCCCCTGTATTTAAGATAGTTCAGACAGTTTTTTACATACAAGGGTAAAGGCTATACCAGATCATATAAAGAGTTAATACTTAAATGGATTACATAAAGGCTATATCAGATCATATAAAGAACTAATACTTAAATGGACTGCAGAGGATGAAAGACTGACATTTTGCTGTGCTCACAACTATTCTCATACCTGTGCCAGACTGGACTGGACACAGAATGAGAGATGAGAGCTACTCTCACGGCAACTTTTAGTCAAAGAGCCATGCCTTAGCCCAGGGGTGGGGAATTTACAGCCTTAAGATCACATGTGGCCTTCTAGGTCTTTAAGTGTGGCCTTTTGATTGAATTCAAATTTTATAGAACAAATTATTTTATTTATACTAACACATTTTTTGTTTCTCTTTTGTATTTTTATTCTATGTCTTAAATGAACATATTTGAAATACTAATAAATAAGTTTCAATAAAACAATCCTCTTAGATTGACGGGCACAATTAGAACATTAGTAAACCAAAGGCCTAAAATGATGGCTGATATACTTATGATTTAGTTCTAACTTCCCCCACCTGACTGGCACCACTACAGCACAAGGCTGGATGGTGTCAAGTGTTACCAGCTTTTGAGAATGGTGCACTGTATTTCTATATGAAGTAGAATTTGTGAATTCTGTGAATACTGCACAGCTTGACAGTATTTTTTAATTCTGTCTTCTTAACAGCCCATCATGTCAAAGAAGACCAAGAGAATGCTTAAGGAGAAAACAGATTTTTAAATGAGGATTGGGAATTGCAACATTATCTTGTTCCTGCTAAAGATAAGATGATTTGCTTGCTTTCTGATACTGCAATATCAACATTAAAGAAATTCAATGGTCATCAGCATTATAACACTCATAAAGACCACAAATATTTTAAATTAAAGAAGTGTGAAAGATCGTATTGCATAAAAGAAAAGGTGAAAAGCAAAGCAAAAAAAAAAAAAGAAAGAAAGAAAAGACAATTCTTTTAAACAGCAATAAAACCTGGAAATAATGCCACTGAAGCAACTTATAAAGTAGCTTATATACTTGGGGGAAAAGGGAAGCCATTCAGTGATATAGAAATTGTGGAAGAATGCATTGTTGAAGCTGTAGAATGCTAATCCCCTGATAACATTTCAAAGTACAAATAACTGTCTCTTTCAAGGAGAACCATAACTGATCAGCAGCACAAATTAGCCTTCAACTTAACAGAACCATTTCATACAATACATCAAAAGGAAAATATATATTATTTAATCATTTTGGATGAATCAACTGATACTACTGACTTGGCAAGGGTTTTATACTTCATTTGGGTCACAGAAGATTTTCTTTGCTAAAAGGAGTCACTCACTTTGGACACTCTTGAGAAAATAACAGAGGGAATGGATATCAATAACATTCAAGATAAATTTTGTGAGGTTGGACTGAACTTGGTAAATTTAGTGAATGTATGTACAGACGGTGTAGCTTCCATGACAGGGAAACATGAGGGTTTATTGCACAGATTTAAAAAAAGTATTAACAGAACCAGATGCTCTCATTTCTTCTCACTGTTATCTTACATCAGCAAAATCTCTATGCTAAAGCTATAATTTTAAGTGATACTTTGCAACAAGTTATAAGTATTATTAACTATATTTGTACAAATGCAACATGGCATCATCAGTCAGTTTGGTATTATAACATTTTAAAGTTGAACAATGAGGTATTCAATGTGAATTTGCCATATCACTAAAGTGTATTGGCTATAGCAGGGACAAGTGTTAGCCAAAATTTTATCTCTGTGAGAACAGATAGTTAAATTTTATGAAGAACAGAATCAGCAGTGTGAATTATTGAAAGAAAATTTCTATAGAAATGCAGTATTTCTGTGGGATATCATATTAAATCAAAACAAATATTTCTTTGCAAGTCTATATATGACATGTGGCAAAAAGAAGAATCCAAGCGGGGTGGTGCCTGTGGCTCAAGGAGTAGGGAGCTGGCCCCATATACCAGGGGTGGCAGGTTCAAGCCCAGCCCCGGTTAAAACTGTAAAAAAAAGAAAAAAATAAAGAAGAATCCAATCAGGCTTGGCGCCTATAGCTCAGTTAGTAGGGTGCCAGCCACAGACACTGAGACTATTGGGTTCGAGCCTCGCCCAGGCCTGCTAAAAACAATGACAACTGCAACCAAAAATAGCTGGGCCTGCAGTCCCAGGTACTTGGGAGGCCGAGACAAGAGAATCGCTTAGGCCCAAGACTTTGAGGTTGCTGTGAGCTGTGACACCACAGCACTCTACCGAGGGCGACATCATGAGACTCTTATCTCAAAAAAAAGAATCTAGGCATTTTGAAAAAAGCTTTTTTTCCCCCAAATACTTCTTCTTTAAAAAGAAATTTCAGATGGACATTTTTCCCAGTTAGCAAAGGTCACTGATGAACAGGATGATACATGTAAATCATATGAAGAATATGCAGTTATTATAGACCTATTGGAAAATACAATGAAAAATTCACTGACTTTGAGAATCATGACATCACACTCAAATTAACATTGCAGCCTCAGTTAGTTGATATCACCAAGGCACCTGCAGAATTACAGATGGAATTGATTCAGCTCTCAGTAAATGACATTTTAAAATCATTATTTGATGCTAAGAAAGATCTAATTGAAATATGGAAAAATGCAATAGAATACCCATGCCTTCAGCAACATGCCCAAAAAATGCTTTCTTGCTTTTCCAACACCTATTGCTGCAAATCTACATTCTCCTACTTAAGCCAAAATCAAAATGCCCTTAATATCACAAGTGACTGATGCCCATCTAGATCAATTGAAACTGTGGACCTCCATGCTGCAACCAAATATTCACATGATTTCCAACAAAAAGCAGATACAACAAAGTCATTAAAAGGTTAACTTTAAAATTAGCAAATAGTTTTCATTTTTGAAATTACTAAGTAGTCAGATTTTTATAAAATAATGTACATTTTTTTTAAATTTTTTTGAGACAGAGCTTCAAGCTGTCCCCCTGGGTAGAGTGCTATGGCTTCACTGCTCACAGCAACCTCCAACTCCTGGGCTCAAGCCAGTCTCCTGCTTCAGCCTCCCAAGTAGCTGGGACCACAGGCACCTGCCACAACGCCCGGCTATTTTTTGGTTGCAGCCATTATTGTTGTTTGGCGGGTCCGGACTGGATTCGAACCCACCACCTTAGGTGTATGTGGCTGGTGCCTTAGCCGCTTGAGCCATAGGCGGCGCCAATAATGTACATTTTTAAGTATATCTAATTGAAGTTTCTTGAATATGGCCTTTTTGATTATACCTAAATTAATGCAGCCTTCCATTTTTCGTGTGTCCTCAATTCCAAGATGACAAAGAAAAGAAGGAACAATAGTTGTACCAAAAAGGACCATGGCCACATGCATCCTATTTGCGTAGAACTGTGCCCAATGTGTGCCTAAAGACAAAGCTATGAAGAAGTTCATCATTTGGAACATGGTGGAAGCCACCACTATCAGGGACATTTCTAAAGTGAGTATCTTTGATGCCTATGTGCTTTCCAAGCTGTGTGTGAAGCTACATAACTGTGTCATTTGTGCCATTCACAGCAAGGTAGTCAGGAACTGAACCACAGGCGCCACTCTATAATTTATTATTTTTTGACACAGTCTCACTTTATTGCCTTGGATAGGGTGCTATGGCATCATAGCTCACAGCAACCTCAATCTCTTGATCTCAAGAGATCATCTTGCCTCAGCCTCCTCAACAGCTGGGATTACAGGTGCCCACCACAAGGCCCAGCTAGTTTTTTTGTTTTAGTAGAGACAGGGTCTTGCTCTTGCTCAGCCTGGTCTCCAACTCCTGAGCTCAAGCAATCCACCTGCCTCGGGCTCCCAGAGTGCTAGGATTAGAGGCATGAACCACAGCACCTGGCCCTCACCCCAACTTAGACCTGAGGGTGCTACCTCGTGACTTCCACCAAAGCCCATGTAAAGCAATTGAGTCCTTGAGGACTGAAGAAAAACTGTCCTTTGGGCGGCACCTGTGGCTCAGTGAGTAGGGCACCGGCCTCATATTCTGAAGGTGGTGGGTTCAAACCCAGCCCCAGCTAAACTGCAACAAAAAGTAGCCAGGTGTTGTTGCGGGTGCCTATAGTCCCAGCTACTCAGGAGGCTGAGGCAGGAGAATCACTTAAGCCCAGGAGTTGGAGGTTGCTGTGAGCTGTGATGCCACAGCACTCTGCCAAGTGCGATAAAGTAAGACTCTGTCTCTAAAAATAAAAAAAAAAGAAAGAAACACTATCCTTTGGAAAACAACAAAATGGAAATTATACTTAATGTAGTATGTTGAGTGTATCTGTGCCCAATAGAGTAAGGGTTTGTTTATGTTATACCACGTGTTCAAATGTGAATTGCCACATTTTTCACTGGAAAGAAAGCTTACCTGTTTAGTTAAACTTTAACTCTTGCAGTCTTAAACAAAATATGGCTTCCAACATGAAAAGGTTCCCCACCCCTGCCTTAGTCTCTTCACATAAGAAATATAAATAAAGAAATACATTTACTAGTACTTTGTAATTACATCTTGAGAAGTTTTGAAGATTAAAAAATATATATTTCTAAGTACTTCTTGGGAGTAAATCAGGATAGATACATTACCTGAACCTGACTTTATACTTCATGCTAGGATCTTTAAGAAGGTTAGCCTCTACGGGGCTTACTTTCTTCAGTATTTCATAAGTCACATAGTATTCCTGAAATAGATGACAATGCTGTAAAAATGAAAAGTGGTACCCTGCCAGACATAATTTACTGACTATAACAGAGGCAGCATGGTAAAGTGAATAGTACACTGGACTTGGGAGTTCTACAGAGGTGGGTTCTTGTCTTGGCTGCTCCACGTATGATCTGTGTAGCCTTGAGTCAGTTACTTAATTTTTTTGGCCTCTAAGTTTGGGTATCTGTCCCTTCTTGAGATTGCAGGCACTGTTCTTTCCCTATGACACTTTTCCCAATATATTATAATTACTTATAAACTTGCCTGTGTCTCCTACTAGCATGTAAGCTTCATGAAGGTAAGGGCAGTGTCTTTCTTCTTTACTACGATATTTGTAGCATCTAGTATAGTACCTGGAACACAGCAGATGCTAAAAAGTATATTGCTGCTTAATGAATCACTGTAACAGGAGGATGATAATAGTAATAAGTTACTAGCTTCTAAGCACCTTTTATGTACCATAGGTTATATTTGGTGCCTTATATATATAACTTCACATAACCTCACTTAATCCTATTTCTTTTTTTTTTCAGTTTTTGGTCAGGGCTGGGTTTGAACCCACCACCTCCGGCATATGGGGCTGGTGCTCTACTCCTTTGAGCCACAGGCACTGCCCAATCCTATTTCTTTTTGAGACTATATTGCCCAGGCTGGTTTTTGAACTCCTGGGCTCACAAGCAGTCCTCCCACCACAGCCTCCCAAGGTGCTGCGACTATAGGCACATGCCACCATACTCAGCTAGTTTTTTTTTTTTTTAATTTTTTTGAGGTCATGTCATCCTTATAAATAGCAATATTATTGGAATATTATCATTCCCACTTCACAAATGAGAAGGCTAAGGCTCAAGGAGGTTTTGTAGCTTATACAAAGGTATACAGGTAGTAAATGAGGAATCTAGGATTCAAATTTAGTTCTGTGTAATTCTAAAGCCCCAACTCTTTCCCCAAAACAATTCCACCCAACCTTTATGCTTATGATAATCACATAAAAATGTACACTAAAAGACTTATAAAGGGATAAATCATTATTAACCTAAGGTATTAACTTGAAGTATTATGATAATATATTGTTATCTGTTCTGTTACTAAGAGTCTAAAGCAAAGAAACCAGTATTACAATAATTAAATACACGTTCCACATTCAAAGACAATGGAGAATAAACCTGAAATGCCAACAGTTTACCTGCTTTTACCTACATCAGAAATGGGTCTGTGTCTCAGATGTTGAAGAAGTGTACACACTGCTCAGACTTCATGATTTCTGGGGGGCTACTAAAAAAATTCCTTTAATGTGACTATTACTAATAATAGACTACTAGGATTATAAGTTGTTTTATTAGGAGAATATTCGGCACTATACCAAGGAAGGCTAAATACTCTGCTAGGGTTGCCAGAGTTGTGTTTTGAGATAGGGAAGATGTGTATCTTTTTCTAGTTTATTTTTATTCAAATCAAATCATATTCTTCATACTTTCCTGTGCTTGTTTTCTTCACGAATGAGTTATCTTGGTTATTTCTCTATTGCAAAATCATGTTAATACTGCAAAGTTTAACACTTTATAAGAGCAGCAACACTTACTTAACCAGGATCCTATCAACAGATATTATACAAATTGCTTTCTTTGCTGTTAGAAACATGCCATGAAACTGTACATATATTGTAGAATGCATTCCTAGAAGTAAAACTGCTGGGCAGAAGGTAGGGGGTAAAAAACCCCCAGTCATCCACATTAAAAATAAATTCAGAAATATCTACTTAGAGATAACAAAAGTAATTCCAGAATGTCATGCAGTATTACTAGATCTAAATGGAAGCTATGAAGAAGGTTATCTATTCTGTGTTTAATTAAAGGATCTTTTAGCTTGATAAGTAATTAAATTTGTCAGAAAAAAATAAAAGCAAAATACATACCGCTGCACAAACTGTGTGTTTTAGGAGTTTAAATAGTGCTCTGTTTGTGTGAGCTAACCAAGCTCTCTGTATTGTTCTAGCTGAAATGTCTCTTCTCCGTCTGAGAGGAAAAGAAAAGATTAATATTTATGAAATAGTTTTTATTTCCCTAAAATCTTGGAGAACTCTTAATTTATACTTCCTCCTCCTGTACCTTCCCATCCCCCACTCTAAGACTGACCTAATGAGGAACATTTGAATGTGGTAATTGGAACTGGTCACCAGCAGGCTCTAGTCAGAATGAGGATATGAAATACTTGAGAATATTTCCCTTGAGATTAAAAAAAACTTGGCTAAAATTTTATCATCAAGAGGCATATACATTATACATTTACCATTAAGAGGCATATATGTTATAAATAGTAAGAAGAAACAAACTCACTTTCTAAAAACATCCATGACCTAAAATGATTTAGTTACAGTTAGTTCTTAAAAACAATGTCCAACTAGTTATGAAAATGGAATGTGCAATAGTTGAAGTTACAGGAGGCCCAGTTCTCTTCTGGGGGCAGATATGTATGCCTTAGGAAAAGAAACTTCTCTGATCTTTGCTTGAACCAGGTTCATCCCAGTCAGGTCAGAGAATTATTCTACTATACTTCTGATCATGTTCCAGCACTGCAGTGGTCTTTCTCTCCAATACCCTCCCAACCCATCATTACCCCTCACAGAGCTATGTTCAAAGAGAACTACTTCTGCACAATGTCATTGTTGGCTGGCAAAATGCAGACTACAAGATATAGGTAGGAAAAGGCCTGAAGTATGCAAACAAACCTTTGAATCCTAGCTGATGCAATTTATCAGCAGTTTAACCTTCTGCAAACCTCTTATCTTCTCCCAGATGCTGCTTCTTCATTTATAAAATGTAATAATAAAACTTTCATAAAGCCACATCAGGTTCAAAGTGATGTGCACTAAGATGCTTTGTAAATTAGAAAATACTACAATTATATAATAATTATTATTCAATTTAAAAGTAATTTTAAGATGCAAAATAACCTCTAATTTATAAAAAAAGAAATGCTTGAAGTTATCTGGGCATAACATTTGGAAATTGTCTAGTTGTGGAAAATGACACAAGGCAAAAGATGGATACTTACCGTTGTGTTAGCTTTGCCTTTGCATCCTTTGCCAAATATACTTTGTGTTCTTTTCCGAAGAGTTCATTACCTAATTTTCCAACAGCAGTACTGGGTCTGTTTACGAAATGATTCATTTTCTTTACAATGAAATAATCTGAAAGTACATAAATTAAACCTTTAAGGTCATAATTTATATTGTTACACTGTTTTGACTAGACTCAAAAGCCATATGATTGCACTAATTCTGAGCCCTTTAAAAAGGAAGCTATTGTGGATCTCTTAACGTTACTCACAGTTTACATATTTTGTGTAATAAAATTGTTACGTGTTATATGGGAAAGACAAGGGGATCTATCCACAGCTTTCTAACTGGTCTGTTTCCAGTCTCTTCCTCCTATTTAGCCTTCACACTCCCGCTGGAGTTAACGTTTTAGAGCAATAAGTCAATCTTATGAGTCCCCAACTATCACCCCAACAAGCTTGTTAGGCAGACAGCATTGGGATAACTATGGAATCCCCAGTGCCTACCAGAGTAGAGAGTTTGTATATGCTTGTTTGAAAACTTTTTCTTCTGGTTTGATCATCAAATAGCAGTTATACTTTGGGCAAGTTATAACTTCTCAAGCGGTTCAGTTCCCTCCCTGATAAAATGAGAAGATGTGCACCAAATTATCTGGTTCTGCCTCTAACTTTCCATTCTTTGAAGCATTACTCCAATCTAGATGTAGCCCCTAAATTCTTGGTCACTGCTTAGTCTTTTCTGCTAAACCAGAGGCTTTTTTGTTTGTTTGTTTTGAGACAGAGCCTCAAGCTATCCCCCTGGGTAGAGTGCTGTGGCATCACAGCTCACAGCAACCCCCAACTCCTGGGCTCAAGCGAGTCTCCTACCTCAGCCTCCCAAGTAGCTGGGACCACAGGCGCTCTCCACAATGTCAGGCTATTTTTTGGTTGTAGCCATCATTGTTGTTTTGGTGGGCCTGGGCTGGATTCGAACCCGCTACCTTAGGTGTATGTGGCTGGCGCCTTAGCCACTTGAGCCACAGGCGCCGAGCCAAACCAGAGGCTCTTTATCTTTTCTGTTAGTGCCATGGACCCCTATGAATGTATCCCTTCTAAGAATTATGTCTTTAAAATGCATGACATAAAATACAAAGGATTACAAAGGACTCCAATTATATTGAAATCATAAAAATATTTTTAAAAACAAAATTATCATAAACATGTCTTCTTTATGCATCAAGTAAGAGATTTAATAACTATTGTACTTTTGAAGTAGTAATAAGTATGAATGTTATTTTGAGATATCTGCCATGACCATGATGTAACATGAAAATATTTGTGCTTTCTATAAATGACAAAATCACAAGTATTGCTACTATTACCGTGGCTTGTTGAGTACATTGCAATAGAAAGAAATGGTAAAGTTCAGCATTAGAGGTTAATGAAAATGAAGTTGTTTTTCTTTCCTCATCCAAGTTCACATTACCCCCGAATTAAGAACTCCTGCCCTAATTCATCGCTATGCTTCACATTTTTGTATTCATGTGATGTTATATTACTAATGCGGAGCCTTCAGAGTCTATTCAGTATTTCTCCTTAGGGATGGGGATGGGAATGGCTTGGAATATACAATTCTCTTGAGAAAGAGATAAGCAGCACTTAACATCTGGGAGCTGGCTTGACACTCATGGCTGGGCCTTGTACTTCTTAAGAATACCCAGTGTAGAGAAAAGCCCTGCTTCCTTGAACTCACCCCCAAATCACCCAACCAAAGCCCAAATCCTATCATAAACCTAAGACTCTTCTTACTGACATGCCCCACTGGTTTCCCAAATGTGTATTTTCTTTGCAGCAGTAAGAAACATAACTTCTTCAATTTTAGGTGTGTTCTTAGTGGTCTTTGGCTGGAGGGCAATGACACATCACTGTTTAAATCCCCAAATCCTGGCCTGGCACCTGTAGTTCAGTGGTTAGGGCGCCAGCCACATACACAGGGGCTGGTGGGTTCAAACCCGGCCAGGGCCTGCTCAACAATGACAACTACAACCAAAAAATAGCCAGGCGTTGTGGCAGGCGCCTGTAGTCCCAGCTACTCGGTAGGCTGAGGCAAGAGAATCACTTAAGCCCAAGAGTTTGAGGTTGCTGTGAGCTGTGATGTCACGGCATTCTACCGATGGCGACAAAGTGAGACAGTGTCTCAAAAAAAAAAAAAAAATTAGACTTAACGCCCGTACTCAGTGGTTAGGGCGCCGGCCACACACACCGAGGCAGCCAGGTTGGAACCTGGCCTGAGCCTGGTAAACGACAATGACAACTGCAACCAAAAACCAGCCAGGCATTGTGGCGTGCGCCTGTAGTCCCCGCTACTCGGGAGGCGGAGGCAAGAGAATCGCTTAAGCCCAAGAGTTGGAGGTTGCTGTGACGTCATGGCACTCTACCCAGGGCGACGGCTTGAGACGCTGTCTCTAAAAAATAAAGAAAAAGTCCCCAAATTTTTCAGATGCGTTTCTGGATGGGGCTTACACTGCCAGGTTAGGACAGAAATGAAGAAATATGAATACATCCTCATTATGAGACAGGGCAACAACTGTTTAGGCTAGAACGTAGGCTTCAAAGGCAGACCCCCCCCCACCGATCCTGGCTTCCCACTTTCTATGTGTGTGACCTCGCATACATCACCTCTCTTTACCTCCGTTTCTTCATCTATAGATTGGGAATAATAATTGTATTCACCTACTCGGCTTGTTGAAAAGATGAGATGAATATGTATAAGAAGTTTAGATCAGACCTGCACACATCCTCATAGCCATAGCAGCGCTTGCTATTCTTGTTAATAAGACTATTATTGCCATTATTACTTCTACAAATATTAAGGGACATTTGACTCCCATTGAGGGGCTCACGCTTAAGTGTCTTGAAGAGAAAAAAGAAAACTAGAGCATTTTACGACTAAAAGACATGGCAAATTAATTTAAATCTAAAACCTGAGAAACGTCCGGCCCCCAAAATTATCTAAAAACCTCTTTTTTTTTTTCTTTGTGAGGTAAATCCAGACCTCCAATCGGCGCTTTCCGGCTGCGAGGCTGTCTAAGCCGTCCGAGGTCGGCCGAGCGCCCCCTGCCGGTCGACTCAGGGGACAGGGCTCCCAGCCCACGCAGCTAGGCGCCCTATAGTAGCTGCGAAAACGGTTCCCAGCGCAGAGCGCAGTCGTGCGTCTCCCTCCTCCTCTCGGCCCTCACGCACAACCCTGACTGAACGGTCGCTTTCCTGTCGCCTAGCAACCGCCGGCGAAGGGGCAGAGGCACCCAGAGGGCGGGGCTTGTTTCTACTGCAGCTCTGGGCGGGGCGCAACGCGATGTATCTGGGGCGAAGCCGCTTCCAGCTGAGGGCTGTAGAGCTAAGCCTTCGCTGCATTTGAGTAAGCAGTACCGCTGTCTCCCGCTCAGCTGTAGAACTAAGTCTTCGCTGCATTTCAGTAAGCAGTACCATCGTCTTCCGCACCGCGGCGGCTTGCAGTCGGAGGAATTGGACCCTTCCGGGCCGCCGTAGCCGCCTTTCTGTGGTGGGCGTGGCCGAGGTCGGGGTGACCCTGCCGGAGCCACCGCTGCCAGCGACATGTTCAAGGTGAGAGCGTGGAGCCGGGTCACAACTGTCACCGCCTTCTCCCGGCCTCCCAGAGCCTTTCCTGCGCTCGCGTGGGACTTTTCCGCGGGCCAGGCCCCGTTGGCCCTGAGGCTTTTCCCGCCGCCGAGCCGGCTGCGTTCCGACTCTGCGGTTCATTCACTGGTCTGCTTGGGTCAAGCGGCTGCCCGGAGAAGGCGTGAGACCCCAGGGTGGGTGGGGGCCACTCTTTGGGTCCTGCTTTCTTGAATAAAACACTATGGAAAGTTTAAGTGCCTTCCTCCAAAGTACCCGTTCCCCCGGCTGGTGCCCTACTGGGGTCGTGGGTCGTGTTAGGCCAGTTCAGGGCACTGCGGGGTTCTTGGCTTTGGTTGCCTGGCAGGGTCAGGTTTCAGAACTTGGTATGTGGGTGGGGGAGGGTTATCCTCGGAGAAGCTCTCGTAGGGTGTAGGGGGTCTAGCGTGGGGTGACTAGTGAGAAGGGAAGCTGGGCCTTTGCTCCAATTCCCTGGGAACATAACTTAATATGGACGGTCTACCCCCTTTCCACTTTATGAACTGATATCCTTTTTAAGAAAACAGCTTTTACAGTGAAGACTTCATTTCCTTCATTTAGCTTAAAACCATCATTCGCTTTTTAAAAAGTAAGTTCTTTTTTTGTCGTAAGAAATCACAGAGCGGCAGAAATTAATCTTCAAAATTGATTCTTCAAGAAGCATAGTTCCCACAAAATAGTTCTAATGAAATCTCAAAATTGTACTCTCATTTCGAAGTTTTATTAAGTTCCTGCTGTGTGCTTGGGGCACATTAGTAAAGGCTATAAAATCAGAATATAGAGTCTGCCTTCCAGTCCTGGCTTTACCCTTTCTAGCTGTATGACCTTGGACAAGTCACATAACATCTCTGTGCCTGTTCTCCTGTTGGCGAAATTGGGATAACAGCATCTATCTCACAGGGTTGTTAGAAGGAGTAAGTAAGTTGGTATGTGTAAAGTGGCTGGAAAAGGCCAAGTATTTGCTTTTATTCTGTTTTCAGGTAGCACACAGTTAGAAAGACAGGTCTCATGAGTAACCTTTATGTTATTTTGAGTTGTCACCCTGGATAGAGTGCTATGATGTCATAGCTCACAGCAACCTCAAACTCTTGGGCTCGAGAGACTCAGCATCCCAGGTAGCTGGGACTACAGGCGCCCGCCACAACGCCCAGCTGTTTTTACGGACAAGTCTTGCTCTAGCTTATGCTGGTCTCAAACTCGTGAGCTCAAGCACAGAGTGCTGGGATTATAGACGTGAGCTACCATGCCTGGCCCAAACCATGTGGTGTGTTTTTTTTTTTTTTGCAGTTTTTGGCCGGGGCTTATATGGGGCCGGCACCCTACTCCTTTGAGCCACAGGCGCTACCCAACCCATGTGTTCTTAACCTGGGGCCCTCAGCCCCTCAATGAGTCTGTAGATAGAACTCAGGGGATCCCTGAACTCTGATGGGAAAAAGTAAGCCTTTATTTTCACCAGTAT